TAATTGATGATTTTGTTTGTTAATATTTGCTTAACTACAAAATATTTTAAAGTTTATAAAGAATCTCATTTTATGTAGGTTCTTGGTACTTTTTTATTTGTACATATTCATTTTTCATCCCATATCCAAATACAAATTTAAATGCGGATCTTACATGTTTATTAGAAATATATGTATATTTTTTCAAAAAGTATGACGATCATATAATTAATTTTATCATATATCATATGTTGGATGTTATTAGTTTGGTTGGGACACTCATTATATTCAAATAAATAATATATAATTTTTCATATTTAGTATTTCTTTTTTTATAATAATAAGATGTTAAACATAAATAACTATGTATAATATAAAGTCTTAGAAAAGGTTTTAAGTAAAAACCCCTCCGTGCAGCGCACGGGATACACACTAGTTAGAAGAGAAAATGATAAGATTTTTTTCGTTCATATATTTATGTTAAAAACTAAAGTTGATTGGATCTTATAATGATAAGTTAACTAAGAAAATAAATCCTAAATTAAAATAACCTAAAATATAAACTTTCTATTGAGAAAAAAGAAAATTGAATGATACAATTAAAAAAAGTTTGAGTCTTCTAATAATATATAGTGCAAATTAAGCAGGTGTGAACACATCAAGCCACACATACGTATACGAGCTATAAACCCTTGTCTTGTCCCCGGTGTCTGGATTAATCGACTTTCTGCCGCTTCAGATCGAAGCTCTTTCTGAGAATTCTCAGAGTCGTATGCTCTCGGTCGTCTGATTTCACGACCATTTGCGATCTCTATAAACCCTAAATTGTCCACCGGAATCTGGAAGGATGGGGGACTATGGCGATGCGATGATGCGCAACCAAAACGCCGCCGTTCAGGCTCGTACCAAGGCTCAGAACCGCGCTAATGTCTTGCAACTCAAATTGGTAAATCTCGTGTGCCGAATCTCTATCGATCTTCTCAAATCTCGATAAAACTTGGTTTGAGCTTGTTTTAGCGCAAAACCTTCGTAATTTGTTGGTTTTAAGTAAGGTATTCCATGTTTTACTGTTCTCTTATATGTTGTTACTGGGATTTATGATGTCGGGGCTTAGGAAATCTGGAAATCAGGATGTTACGGTTGGAAATTAAATGGTCGTAACTTTGACATAACAGCAATTAAGGTCCAGTATGGTGTCTGTGGCTGTGTGATTATGTTGACAAGAATTGAAATGAGCATTGTATGACTATATTAATTTTCCTTCAATTGGTATGCTGCAATGACATGCTGCAAACATAACAAAATCTTTTTGTTTTAACGTCACAGATTGGTCAGAGTCATCCAACTGGTTTAACAGCCAACCTGCTGAAGTTATTCGAGCCTCGTCCACCTTTGGAATACAAACCACCTCCTGAAAAGAGGAAATGCCCACCATATACAGGTCCGTGGTTCTATTATGATGCTAATGCGAAAATTTTGTTAACTACTAGCTAACTTGGGAACTGTCTTATTGATTTACCAGGTATGGCACTGTTTGTTAGTAAATTTGCTGAGCCTGGTGATCCACAATATGCTGCTCCTGTGCAGAAAAGTGAAACCCCAGTAAGTCTTTCATCTGCCTAAAATCCGTGTGTGAAAGTAAACTTTTTAGTTGGAATGATGTAGTCTTTTAAATTATTTTGACTTGGTGAAGAATATTACTCATTCCATTTGCTTGTCTGGTAATTTGCTGGCCTCTATGTCCGAGATCCTTCTGTAATAGAATGAATATTATAATACTGTGTGTTCTGAACACTTATCATATTTCTTGTGAGGATATGCTTTTTGTTCCTGTTCGGAGCATGACTTTTAGTTTTATTGACTCATGAGCTGTAAAACCTCATTTTATAAATGTTTATGTATTTCCTGATATAGGCAAATTTTTATGTAGTCCTACATTGCATGCTATGATACTGTCAATTCCCTTTACGTATCGTAGGCCATCAGGTGTTGGCATTTCTAGGAGTCCGCTATATATGCTCTGCCACATTGGTATTTAATATCTTATGTTGGGTGAATGAGTG